CCAGTAATGCCTTTTCATTGGCGTCACAATAAGACAATTCTTTATTCTTAAACCCGCTACCTATCCATCTATCAGCAATGTACTGTAAACAAGGTACGCCTAAAGACATATAGAATATAATTGAGAATGGAAATGGGGAATGTGTCAAACAGCCCGACCATAGAGCAGACAACAGCCGAAGGCCACCAATGGGTCTTCAATGCAGGGAGAAACTCCCGCACCCGAAGGCGTCCCTCAACTGGCCCCTAAACAAATATGTATACTAGTTCAGTGATAATGGACGTCATACTAAACTCCAAATTATACACAGGAAACTAAAATTAAAAATGATACAAGACTAACAAAGGCCAAAAGAAGCTTGTTACTACAATGCCTGTTGTTTGATAGAAAAACACTAGCCTTGAATCCAAATGGAATTGTATTGAATATCATGAAAAATCCACCAAACTGCCCCCTAAAATATTTTTTAGATTTTTCACATAGAAAAATACGGTCGTACCCTATTCTATCATCAACTGACGACTTCAAATCATCCCTTTCCAACAACCGGGGTACTTCCCTAAGCGTATCAAGGTTTAATTGGGAATCTTTTATCCATAAATTCAGAAACCTTTTATCGTGGCAAAGTCTGGATTTTGTTGGTTCAACTGTTAACGGTAAAATTAAATACGGAGGCTCACACTCACCAACCTTTCCAAGTAATGTCAAAGACCCATTACACATCCTTTCTGAAAGAGTATTCGCTATGAATTCCTTATGCTCCTCGCTATTTTAGCATTATGATAATGTCTTTTAGGAGGAGTGTTTGAATTGAATGACTCCCCTCTTAAATTTCCTAAACAATATTTTGAAAAATCTCCCATTCATTTAAATGGATATTCCTAGCTATGAAATTATTAGGGTCTCTAAACTGCAAGTCACCCAGGTTGACACTAGCATCTGTGTGACCCACTGATTCCGCCGAAATGTGGAGCAAGGCTTGAGCCTTTTCACCTATGTAATTAACCCAGTTTCAATACTTGTGTTCGCTTTTCAAATAACTCGGAATAAAAACTTGAACAAAGTTCCCATTCTGGAACTAATGTAGATAGCTTCCGCTTCTTATCCTCAAAACTAATTTCTTGAAGAAAATAATAAAATCTTAAAAAGGTTTCTTCCCTTTTAATTTGTATTTCTCTCTAATATGAAAATTACAGAGGTGGATACTCAACCCTCGACCCGCATGAAAATAAAATCACTTAGGCTTCAGAGTCCCTTGAGTCAAAGGTTGCATATCCAAAACAAAATAAATTTTTATTATTTATCTTTTAATATTACTACTTTGGACAATTAACACAAAAATTACAAAACTTACTAGGAAAATTGCCAAAACCTGGTAAAAACATATGAGGCGGTGGAAACACACAATTGGGACCATATAATTGAGGATATGTAAATTGTGATTGGTTGTTACTTGTACCCAAAGTACCAGAAAAATTCCAATCATTATGCTTAGCGTCATGCAAAACATTTTCTTTTGATTGGCGTTTTTTAGGCGACGACTCAAAGTTTTCCCTTTCATCTATTCAGTCACAACGTTAGCAAATGGTTAGCAATCCTCTTATCCTCTGCCGAACCGAGAAGTTTCATTGTCAAATTACATAAATCTTTTGAGTTATCAAACGTTTTACAGTGTGTAAAAGCTTTGGAAAAATACTCTGATTCTTTATAATTCACCTTTACCGCTACCCCTACAAGTGTTTCTATAGCTGCCAATAAGACGTAAGATTGAGTTAAATTGGGCCTAGACGACAAAATCCTTTCATGTTTCAAACATTCTTCCACTTGTTTATCTGCAGATCTACTAGAAATAGATTTGACCTAGTCCTCCATCTGCTTCTGTCTACTCTCCAAGGTTACATGAGAGCTTGGAATTCAATAAAATAACTAATAAATCTCAAACCTGTATAATTTAACTATCACCCTACAAAAACTACTCAAGGAAGAATAAAATATATTTAATGATAATGTTTTATCATTCATTCATTCACACAAATGCCTCAATTCTTGAATCATTTACAATGATATCAAATATTAACCATATGCTATACATCCTAATATGTTTCAAATTTCCAACACACTAATGTTTATTTTTTTTTTAATATATTTATTAATCCAGAGCAACAATAGGTGAACATTTTACTAGATATAATTGTATTTGTTACACTTTGTATTTTAAAACACCGAAATAGTGCAGACAACAAACCATTAAACATTCTAACAGGCTAGAGCCATTCACCCTTTTCCGCTTAACTGTTTTATTTTTAAAATGAATAAAATCCGTTGTACTTGTCCAACTGCCAAGTTTGGTTAAATTTTAAATTTACCAGCCTCAAAATCAAGATAATGAAAATATTAGAATTAACCCTCAAGCCATCTAAAAGATCCTGACCAAACCTATTATAACCAACATACCAGAGACATATCTGCTCGTATCTGTTAATGTTCCACTACATGATAATGAACTTCTTGCCTTGTCGTCAACGAAACACTAGTGCTAGCCAACCCAGTGCTAGCTAGCGATGCACCTCCTTCTCTAGTACTTGTAGGTAAAATGTCGCTAACAAAGAAGCTCTCTCAGTTCCACCACCACTTGATGAAACCGTACCTGATGCTCCTGGTTGTACGTTAGATATTTCTCTTAAAGACTTCCCTTTTGGGGCACCAACTAGATTGGCCTGCAAAATGCAATAACATTCGGACGTTTTAAAAATTTATATCTTCCCTGTCAGCACCATCACATCATTCACCGTTTTTCCTGTTAAACCCTCAAACTCCATACTAAGTTCCTCTAAAGAGTAATCTGTTAACATGTGGTCCCTTTTCAGCTTTGCTTAACTAGAATCTAATATTGTCTCCTCCTGAGATCTCACTTTCAGGATTACCGGAAGTAACGGTTTCCCTATCAGCGAAAGACTAAGTTTCAACACACCAGCCAAAATCAACAAAAAGAAACAAAAAGCTAAATGTCAAAAGGCAATCCTTCAAAATTGACAATTATTCAAAGTCTGTATTAAGATATAATGCATGATCAATTATGACACATATCATGAATTTAACAAAAAAAAAGGTCTACTCCAATATACACACATGAAAAGAACATTCTAGTTTTAAGTCGTATAAGGTTTATGTCCCCTTCTTATGTATGTTATAAATCAGAAAAATATACTACATAAAAGAGAGATGCTATGTTTGGTATACATATAGCAAAGGTGAAAAACGTTGTCAAGCAAAAATATCATGTTTTCGTTTTAACCAAAATCCAACCTTTTTCATGATAACATTGTTAACATATACTTCTATGTCCATAATGCCCTAGTGTTAAATAATTGCAATAAATCCTAAACAAACTCTACAACCAATGTAACTTTGAACGTTGACCCTAAAGTTGAACGCACCTCAGAAGGTGTACTTGAATAGGCCGTCTAAATTGAAAATTATTCGAAAAATAAAATAAATCAATGCTAGTTCTATATTTATCAATTATTAATTATTATGCATAATGAAAATATAATAGTGAAGAAAAAATGCTATGGATTTTCTATATTATAGGAACAACAGAAGGATACATCATCGGCCGTAAAAACACTTTTCCACCACAGAAAAATATAACAATATCCCGACCTGCGAATCTAGAAAACAATTTAACCTCCGTCACGCATTCAAAATGAACAACATAAAATGCATTCAGTTTTCCGACAAATACAATACGACAATAAAATACGTAAAGAACAAGATATCAAAATAAAGTATCATTTTCTGTTTTTTGTTTTATGTTATAAATAACCTAATACCATAACAATATACTAACAATTTATCATTACAATCGGATCAACGAATTCTTGGTAAAATAAACAACCACATGCCGACAATCTGCACGAGAAAAATGGCGTCTCTCAGCATTATCCTAAATTGAAACAGAAATATCGAGCATAGCACATGCTATATCTCCTCTAAGTCTAAAGTTCATTCCAATACATGATTTCTTTTCCAATGTTCAATTACTTATCGAATACACTTGTAGCTAAATTCAACATTTACAACAGCGGGTAAATAAACACTAAAAACATACTGCAATTCATAGGCTGCACATATCTATTGCCAATAATTAAAATAAATTACTTACTCAGTGCACTCAATACAATGTCCAAAGTGGACAGAAAGACAGGCCAACTGTTCCGGCTGACAGTTTAGCAAAGTATGACAGGATAACTCACCTTGTCTATTCCCGCGAGATCTAATTTAAGATACAAATCAAACTACAAATAACGTGAAATTGTTGATGGTCATCGTTTAAATGTTCTTGTTTATTGTATCTTTAACCATATTGAGTTGATTATAAAATAGAAACAAATGGATTTTTTTCTGGTTGCTCAGAGAATGGATCAGATTACATAATACACAGGCGCTTGTGGTGTGGTGTCCCCTTTTCTTTTTTTTTGCTCGGTGTTAAATGTTTTACAATAATTGATTCTTCTACTGTCAGATATTGAACTGTGCTTTTAAATGGTGATAAGTTGAAATTTGTTAATCTTAAGACAGAAACTATTACCACATACAATAGATTATGCCACTGGATTTCTGCTTTGAACCGGAGGTCGGTGTTTCTCAACGGGCACTAAGTCTTCTTCCACTAATGAAACCTTACCGCCATGAAATAACACAATAGTGCTGAAAGATGTGGTAACCCCCAATTAATGGATCATTCTTTGAATAGTGTTTTATATTTTTTCAGGTGAGAGGTCTTTTATAGAAAACTCTCATGTATGGGTTTTGCTCATTGTTTAAAAGCCGTACAGTAACATCATTTAGTCTCTAGTCTCATTTGCAATCACACCACATATTTTTAAATATATGTGTGGTTTAAACTTATAAACCAATCTATTCTCTAATTACTTTTCTAACATGAAAGAGGATGCATATCCATTTATACTTTGTGGCCTAAACTTATTTGTACCATATTTACTGTATTTTCTGAAAGGAGGCTGGACAGATGTAAATAAAATCTGTTTTGAACTGAGCTATTATCATTCATACCAAGTTAACAACTATACAATTGAGAATTTTTAATGAGTAATTTTTGGTGTAATTGTAATTCTGCTGTATAGAGCAATGTTGAAAAACGAAAAACAAAAATATATAATCAAAGGGAAATAGTTTTCCAAATTTGTCTTTTTTTCTTCTTTTTATGAAAGATCTCCTAGAACTTTTCTGCATATGCAGATTTGTTTATGGACTTTTTCCCCCGGAAATGCTTTTGACATAAGGAGTTTTTAGTATAATTAGCAATAGTAATGGATTTTATTGTTAAGTTTTCACCTGCGTTAGTATTTTTGTACAAAATGGCTGACCCAGGATTTTAGGTATGTTGTATTGTTAAACATGATAAATGAAAATTATGTTGTACCAAGTTACATTGAACATATTCAATTATGCAATGATATCAATGTTTTTACAAGACTATGTTAAAAAAATAAGTATTAGAAAAGATATAAAGCAAAAATTATTTAAAAGACGAATGTGTTCCTAGCAGCATTAACCATGTCATTTCTATTTTAAGGAAACAAGAAAAAGTCTGTTTGTTTTACTCCGTGTTGAAGACCTCACTATGACTTTGAGATGATAACAGCAGTACAAGAGCTTTTCTTTTTTGTGTGTTTTTGCTGTCCATATACTAATTTAATCTGTTACAAAATAGTAAAACAAAAATGAACAAATTTAAAATTATTTTTTCCAATCCAGGTATTGTGAAATAAAGTGTATTTCATATCGAGGGTAAAAATATGATTAGTAGAAATCCTTACACACTGACATAATATATCCCTGTTGCAAGGACTATTTATAAACTAGCAAAATAGTGAACTTCACAAGTTTTGTTCGATTATATTTTATTACTGATATTGTATTATGTTTATTGAAATTCTTAACCTTAAATAATATGTTAAGATTAAAGGATGACTAACACGGGATAAGAAGACATCAGTAATAACACATTTTGAATGAAATTATAAAAGTAATGTTATTTGAAAAGATTAATCCTTTCGACATTTAGACACTTAAGCATTTGTTAAGAGTCCTTACACTGATATATTATGTCTGTATGTAATGATATTACATTTGAAATACTGTTAATGAATCAGATAATGTATATGCTGGAATAATATATACATTTCTTATCATTAATAAGTCCTGTAAATATCAGACAAATCCTACAGTATTGTCATATTGTCATACATAGAGCAGAATTTAACATATATCCTATGACTACTAATACCTTAATTGACTAATACGTGTATCAAATAACATGCTCCAATTACTGTTGATGGTTAAATATTATATTACAGTTCTTTTTGGAGTTTGGATTTCCTTGCTTCTGCTGTAGCACTAACTACATCATCAGATTTCAACGCTTCAGTATAACAATAATCGGCTGTTTCCTTATCACCCGATATTTCTTGGCAAAGCCCAAGTACTGTTATTGAAACAGATATGGTATCTGAAATAACGAAATTTGAGTCATCTAGACAGAGCATTAAATCATATAATGCCTGGTGTCTTTTAGAAATATCACCAAGATGATGGTAACAAAGAAATCGAAGACAGTGTGACATAACAGTAGGCGGTATAAACACGGGCTTGTCATTCACTTCTAGCTGCAGTTCGTCGGGTATTAAAGATGATTGCTTTACGTACTTGACATTATTAACCATAGCTATTCTCATCTTGTCATTAAATGTCATTGTAGAATTGATATGCATTCTATAATTATTTATCTGTTCTTCTCTGTAGTTATCTTTGCCTTTTAACGTCATCTCAGATGAACATCTTGATAGGACATACTCCGTTAGTCTGAGTGTCACATTGAACTGTTCTGTGACATAATAAAACGATGCGTATAACAACCAACCGGATACAGCATCTGTCTTGGTACCGGCTTGTAAATATCTATGATACCGTTTGTGCATGTTGTACTTGTCAGTCATCTTGGTTGGTATTGGTAGTAACTGTGCTGCATGTTGACTTATTATAGCTTGTTGGTGATTACATATATCAATAATAAATGTCGAAGATGTGGACTTAATAAAAGATTTTGAAAACATCAGTGCCTTTAAACATCCTGATAAGTCTGTTGCAGAATCGAACCCACACGTCTTATAAAAAAGAAAGTCTAACATCATGAAGGAAGATTCAATATGTGTTCTTAATAAAGTATGATTTGTATTGTCTTGCGGAAATAATTTATTTATCAATCCAACAATTCCTTCGCATTTAATGTTATCTAATACATTTACCAGTATCTTATTGTTATCAAGATTGACCTTTCCTAAGAACATATTTTGTTGTGGTATAAAATAGTTCGGACAGTAGCACTTTTTTGCCCACACTATTAGTTTATTTATGCAGTGCGAAAAACAGACAATTAATTTGGACAATTGAAACGTGTCTATATCCACTTCCTCTGAGACCCAGAATAAAGCTGTCTTCATAAAGTAAGAACACAATAAACCTTCAGCATGTTTGTTTGTGTTAACGATATGCTTTAATGTAAGTTTGAGGAGACAGTAACATAACAGTTGAGTGAAATTAAACGAATGTACAAGTTGTTTTTCTGCCTCAGAGAAAGATAATCTCCACAATATATTACAATCTGGCATAGTCTTTGGTCCAATAGGGACTAGCAAACATCCGCCTTTTTTAATCTTATCAATGATGTTATTCGGGGGCCATTGCTGTCGATTGCGTAAAGTCCATTCTTTTGCATTGTACGGTAAATATTTACTTCGAATACAGTATGCGAAATCCGTTTTTTGACCTTTACTTGATACACAGGGACCGTGTGTTGATAGCTTCAGAAATGGATGTAATTGCTTTAACTTACTAACAAATTTGTTCACTGATAAATATAGGCCTTTATTGGTATTTTCAAAGGTTTCTAATGTTATAAAGTCAATTTCCAGATGAAATCCTTTTAACAATCGGAGTCTGGTAAATCCAGGATGATTATGTTCAGTCTCCATAAGCAATGTTGTACGTTTTACATGTTCTAAAGGTTGTTTGATAGTCCTTCTGTCTTGTATTACATCTACTTCATGGATGACGTACATTAGATCGATGTCCCTACCAGGTAAATCTAGACCTTCACCTAAACTTCCACTCGTTATTTCTGTTAAGCTTGACAAAGCTGCATTATTCAACATGTCCTTTAAAATAAAAAGTTTTTGTCTTTTTCGAAAGTCTATTTCAGAACCAACTGTATTCACTAAATGTTCGTATAAGTATCTTTCTTTCATACGATTTCTAGTCCAGGTCAAGTAATCTATAAAAATAAATTTAGTAGTTTTATTGATTAAAATTTTTGTGTACGGCATACACCAATGAGGTTGGCAAAGTGCGATCATGCAAAAGCGTAACGTATTTTCTTAGATTTATCAATATCCATACGAAGGGGCAAAGGGCATGTTACTACTCATAGATAACAAGTTGACAACTGGAAATTTGAAATCACATTTGTAACAAGTTTAAGTTAAAATCCATCTATCTCGATATATATAAATAGACCAAGATAGAAATCTGACTTTCTGCTTTTTTTTTTGTATCATTGATATCAAGGTCAGTGGGATACATGAGCTGTAATTATGCATTTAGACATATCTTCTCGAGTAACAAGATATTATCGTGCAATCTGAAAGTAGAATGTAAGAATTTTGCAAGATGTTTTTTGTGGTGTTTGTTTGTTTGTTTACATGATGCTTTGAATGAATTCTGTCTAATTAAAATTCATGCATACTTCAGCCAGTTGTGGTCCAGAGTTTGAACTTATATATATATTTATATATATACAAGTCTAAATAGAAAACAACGTTCAAACCTATGATTGCGTTGGATAAAAACCGCAATTTTTATACGTTTGCATGCAAAAAAAATTTCTTGGTAAAGTCGTCTAAATACAGCACAAACAACATTTTCCAAAAGACCAAAAAAGTAAAAAAATTATTTTAACAAAACGCATTTGACTAGCAGGTTAAACAACGGATGTTCTTAACCCCTGCTGACTGCCATGGCGATTGCCAAATAAACGGATCACCAGACATAAAAATAGATCTTAATTTATTAATTAAATACCAAACAGAAAACAATAAACTTGCGGAAAAGATGGTATACCGCAAACATGAGGTGCAAAAATTTGTACACCATATCCGGATTTCGACAATTAGTGTCTCTTCAGTGATGTTAGGAATCGAAACGGTATTTGGAACGCCATATAATTTACCTCAATTTCGGACTGACTCTTGAATTTTGAAGAGTCAAAATAGGACGAACGGATCATATAAACCCGAAGGCAAATATAATACAAGCCCAAACAAAAAAAATATAAACAAGTCTAAATTGAAAACAACGTTCAAACCTATGATTGCGTTGGATAAAAACCGCAATTTTTATACGTGTGCATGCAAAACAAATTTCTTCGTAGAGTGGTCTAAATACAGCACAAACAACATTTTCCAAAAGACCAAAAAAGTGAAAAAGTATATTTTAACAAAACGCATTTGACTAGCAGGTTAAACAACGGATTTTCTTAAACCCTGCTGACTGCCATGGCGATTGCCAAATAAACGGATCACCAGATATAAAAATAGATCTTAATTTATTAATTAAATACCAAACAGAAAACAATAAACTTGCGGAAAAGATGGTATACCGCAAACATTAGGTGCAAAAATTTGTGCACTATATCCGGATTTCGACAATTAATGTCTCTTCAGTGATGTGAGGAATCGAAACGGTATTTGGAAAGCCATATAATTTACCTCGATTTCGGACTGCCTCTTGAATTTTGAAGAGTCAAAATAAGATGAACGGATCATATAAACCCGAAGCAAATATAATACAAGCACAAACGAAAAAATATAAACAAGTCTAAATTGAAAACAACGTTCAAACCTATGATTGCGTTGGATAAAAACCGCAATTTTTATACGTGTGCATGCAAAACAAATTTCTTGGTAAGGTGGTCTAAATACAGCACAAACAACATTTTCCAAAAGACCAAAAAAGATAAAAAGTATATTTTAACAAAACGCATTTGACTAGCAGGTCGAACAACGGATGTTCTTAAACCCTGCTGACTGCCATGGCGATAGCCAAAAAAAAAGGATCACCAGATGTAAAATGGATCTTAATTTATTAATTAAATACCAAACAGAAAACAATAAACTTAAATGGATCTTAATTTATTAATTAAATACCAAACAGACAACAATAAACTTGCGGAAAAGATGGTATACCGCAAACATGAGGTGCAAAAATATGTACACCATATCCGGATTTCGACAATTAATGTGTCTTCAGTGATGTTAGGAATCAAAAAGGTATTTGGAAGGCCATATAATTTATCTCAATTTCGGACTGACTCTTCAATTTTGAAGAGTCAAAATAGGATGAACGGATTATATAAACTCGAAGGCAAATATAATACAAGCCCAAACGAAAAAAAAAAAATAAACAAGTCTAAATTGAAAACAACGTTCAAACCTATGATTGCGTTGGATAAAAACCGCAATTTTTATACGTGTGCATGCAAAACAAATTTCTTGGTAGAGTGGTCTAAATACAGAAAAAACAACATTTTCCAAAAGACCAAAAAAGTGAAAAAGTATATTTTAACAAAACGCATTTGACTAGCAGGTCGAACAACGGATCTTCATAAGCCCTGCTGACTGCCATGGCGATTGCTAAAAAAACGGATTACAAGATGTAAAAATGGATCATAATTTATTAATTAAATACCAAACAGAAAACAATAAACTTGCGGAAAAGATGGTATACCGCAAACATGAGGTGCAAAAATTTGTACACCATATCCGGATTTCGACAATTAATGTCTCTTCAGTGATGTTAGGAATCGAAACGGTATTTGGAAGACCATATTATTTACCTCAATTTCGGACTGATTCTTGAATTTTGAAGAGTCAAAATAGGACGAACGGATCATATGAACCCGAAGGCAAATATAATACAAGCCCAAACGAAAACATATAAACAAGTCTCAATCGAAAACAACGTTCAAACCTATGATTGCGTTGGATAAAAACCGCAATTTTTGTACGTGTGCATGCAAAACAAATTTCGTGGTAGAGTGGTCTAAATACAGCACAAACAACATTTTCCAAAAGACCAAAAAAGTGAAAAAGCATATTTTAACAAAATGCATTTGACTAGCAGGTCAAACAACGGATGTTCTAAAACCTGCTGACTGCCATGGCGATTGCCAAATAAACGGATCACCAGATGTAAAAATGGATCTTAATGTATTTATTAAATACAAAACAGAAAACAATAAACTTGCGGAAAAGATGGTATACCGCAAACATGAGGTGCAAAAATTTGTACACCATATCCGGATTTCGAAAATTAATGTCTCTTCAGTGATGTTACGAATAGAAACGGTATTTGGAAGGCCATATAATTTACTTTAATTTCGGACTGACTCTTGAATTTTGAAGAGTAAAAATAGGACAAACGGATCATATAAACCCGAAGGCCAATATATTACAAGTATAAAAGAAAAATATAAACAAGACTAAATTGAAAACAACGTTCAAACCTATGATTGCGTTGGATAAAAACCGCAATTTTTATACGTGTGCATGCAAAACAAATTTCTTGATAGAGTGGTCTAAATACAGCACAAACAACATTTCCCAAAGGACCAAAAAAGATAAAAAGTATATTTTAACAAAACGCGTTTGACTAGCAGGTCGAACAACGGATGTTCTTAAACCTGCTGACTGCCATGGCGATTGCCAAAAAAACGGATCACCAGATGTAAAAATGGATCTTAATTTATTTATTAAATACCAAACAGAAAACAATAAACTTGCGGAAAAAGATGGTATACCGCAATCATGAGGTGCAAAAATTTGTACACCATATCGGGATTTCGACAAGTAGTGTTTCTTCAGTGATGTTAGGAATCGAAACGGTATTTGGAAGGCCATATAATTTACCTCCATTTCGGACTGATTCTTGAATTTTGAAGAGTCAAAATAGGACGAACGGATCATATAAACCCAAAGGCAAATATAATACAAGCCCAAACGAAAAAATATAAACAAGTCTAAATTGAAAACAACGTTCAATCCTATGATTGCGTTGGATAAAAACCGCAATTTTTATACGTGTGCATGCAAAACAAATTTCTTGGTAGAGTGGTCTAAATACAGCACAAACAACATTTTCCAAAAGACCAAAAAAGATAAAAAGTATATTTTAACAAAACGCATTTGACTAGCAGGTTAAACAACGGATGTTCTTTAACCTGCTGACTGCTATGGCGATTGCCAAATAAAAGGATCACCAGATGTAAAAATGGATCTTAATTTATTAATTAAATACAAAACAGAAAACAATAAACTTGCGGAAAAGATGGTATACCGCAAACATGAGGTGCACAAATTTGTACACCATATCCGGATTTCGACAATTAATGTCTCTTCAGTGATGTTACGTATAGAAACGGTATTTGGAAGGCCATATAATTTACCTCAATTTCGGACTGACTCTTGAATTTTGAAGAGTAAAAATAGGACGAACGGATCATATAAACCCGAAGGCAAATATAATATAAGTATAAAAGAAAAAATAAAAACAAGTCTAAATTGAAAACAACGTTCAAACCTATGATTGCGTTGGATAAAAACCGCAATTTTTATACGTGTGCATGCAAAACAAATTTCTTGATAGAGTGGTCTAAATACAGCACAAACAACATTTCCCAAAAGACCAAAAAAGATAAAAAGTATATTTTAACAAAACGCGTTTGACTAGCAGGTCGAACAACGTATGTTCTTAAACCTGTTGACTGGATTGCCAAAAAAACGGATCACCAGATGTAAAAATGGATCTTAATTTATTTATTTAATACAAAACAGAAAACAATAAACTTGCTGAAAAAGATGGTATACCGCAAACATGAGGTGCAAAAATTTGTACACCATATCCGGATTTCGACAATAAGTGTCTCTTCAGTGATGTTAGGAATCGAAACGGTATTTGGAAGGCCATATAATTTACCTCAATTTCGGACTGACTCTTGAATTTTGAAGAGTCAAAATAGGACGAACGGATCATATAAACCCGAAGGCAAATATAATACAAGCCCAAACGAAAAAATATAAACAAGTCTAAATTGAAAACAACGTTCAAACCTATGATTGCGTTGGATAAAAACCGCAATTTTTATACGTGTGCATGCAAAACAAATTTCTTGGTAGAGTGGTCTAAATACAGCACAAACAACATTTTCCAAAAGACCAA